TCTCAACACAACACAATATCTATCGTAATTAATTTGGTATGGTTCTTGTTTTTATATTATATTATATTATAAACATATGTATTTCTGTGTCTGTGTGTTTCTGCAGCCAGGAGAGAGTACCGCAGTCGCTCAGTTCAACCTCAGAGTCAGCGCCCCCCCGTCAGCAGCCAATCAGGGCCCATCCTGGACTCAGGCTCCACCCACGGGCTTGTCCAGCGTCTGTCCAACAGTCAGCTGTCCTTTAACACGTCTATAGCCTCTATATTCTCCCAGGTATACGCACACACAATGTTCAAATCAGAATACTTTGCTCAGTTGTATCAGAGAATAAATAGTAACCAGAGGATCTTTCGCTCTCTTCAGGTCCCGCGTCTCTCAGGAGCTGGTGGGATCAGCTCACAGCTCCAGGCAGCGCAGCACCAGCAGCGCTCCAGCCAAGTACGGGCTCTTACACTTCTATACATACATTGGCCTGCACACTACAGCACACGTTTGACAGATGAAGATCTCAAAACGGGCACATTTTAAGAAAAACAATGTTTCTGTCATATTTTTTTAATGTTTTTTTAACCAGTGGTGTAGTGGTGCCTAGAAAAGTGGGTATACTTTTTCTTAAAGTGGCCCATCCTGCAAAGGATAAACGCCCTGTGTTTTAAACATGTAAGACTACTCTTGTCACTTAACTTCTGCTGCTTGACAGGCAGTAAGGATCATTATGAAATTAACCATAGCCACAGAGATGCAGTTTTTGCAATAAATACTGGCCCACAGACAGGTGAGACGACTGCACAATTATGCATTTTGAGTGAAGTATTCCTTATTCCTTACTATGTCATGCCTTCGCCAACCTAGGAAAAAAAATTCAGCTTGAAGAACACTACTGAATGAACTGCATCAGAGGGGATTTAGGAGTATGTACACCAAATGCCGACTGATCTATAAGTACCGTGCACTACACCACTGTTTATAACAAACAAATGGATTCCTAGATCTACACACACAACAAGAAATGCCAACTAAGCATAATAATAAAGAGAGTATTAAAGGGAGTCAAAACAAAGAAATCAACTTCAGTTGAAGTGAAATGTTGCCAAAGTTGCCATTACTAGATTAAATTGTGTGTAAAAATAGTGTCGCATTTGCAGTAAAACCCCTGAATTACACTGCATTTTATTTGCGCAGACGTTAAGTGAGTTGATGTTATTACCACAATCGAGTTTAAACCGATGTTCAGGGGTTTATTTTTGTCATTATCATAAAAACTCATCCATGAAACAATTTCACAGCTGATGGCCAAAGCTTGTGATTATATTATCATTGACTACAAGTTATTCTTAGACACCGCCTACTGTCTCTGATAATTGTTTGTACATGAGCATATTTGTGTTTTGTGCTCCCATATACCATCTCAGTGTTTACTTCATCTCCTTTGTTCAGGTCTCCTCGTCTTCGTCCACTCTCAGCCTGCTGTTTGGGAAGCGTAGTTTCTCCAGTGGTCTGGTTATCTCTGGGTTGTCTGCTGCTGAAGGGGGCAACACCACAGATACACAGTCCTCATCCAGTGTCAACATCGCCATGGGGCCCTCACACAGGTCCAGCAGCAGAGCCACGCAGGTAGGGAACAAATCAACAGATAGACGGGCAAAGACCCTGCCTCTTTATACGCTGTCTGAGTGGCTGCACCCTCCTCATATTGGCCTTATACACAACGACATCATTGATCACCCTCAAGTCAAAACCACCTGTTGGTCACCCATTTGGTCCATGACAAGGTTTCTGAAAGGGTAATAGCTTGACTTTGATATTAAACGGTTAAAAAGATTTAAAGCTATTTGTAATCATTAAAGGAATACATGGAAAAGGAAGCCGTGTTAAGGTTGTTGGGAAATCTTTTTTATTTTTAAGTTCAATAAAAATACATTTTACATTCTGGTTCGTTCAGTATATACATGATGACATTACAATGTTTTTATGTTATATGTAGTCCACTATAAACCTATATAAAGGCCCAGTCATGCATAAAAAGTAAGTCCCCAGTGAAGAAACTGCGACATGATCTTACCTCCTACGCTACCCCGAGGCCAAAATATCACTGATAATATTACTGTAGCTCATAATCGAACTGGCAGAGGGGATAAACCTACTGGACAATCCGTACTAAAAAATTGCTGTATGAACATCACAATATTAGTGTAGTTATTGACTTATTCCATCCAGCACTTTTATTTGTGAGGTGTATCAGTGTTGCAGCCTCTGGTGGCCACTAGTGGGGCTCTAAACTTTAAAGTCTTGGCATTATTTATTGCATTATTTGAAAATTTGAGCAGCAGCTTTGTGCTAAAACACAGAGAATTAGCTGGGAAATTAGTTGTAAAAGCCAGTAAGGCAACAATCAACAATCTTATCAAACCACTGGAACAACTGAAAATAAATCCTTAATTTGACTTGAGATGCAAAATAATGTGAGTAAAGTACAGGTTTTAACAAAGAATATTGCTTCCTCCCTTTCTCAGTGGACATCAGAGCCATATGAGAGTATAGACGCGACCTATTCCAATGCCGCCATCACGGTGAAAGACGGCGTGCAGTCAGGTGACCGAGGCTACAGCCAGGGATTAGACAAGACCCAGGAGGACTCAGCATCTGCCTCAACAGCTCCGGAGGCGTCGGATCAAAAGACTGTCTGAGAGAGAGAACACACACACACACACACACACACACACACACACACACACACACACACACACACACACACACACACACACACACACACACACACGAGAGTGCCCATACACATGCCCATATACAGAGAGGACTGTATGAAAAGTAACACATATATACATCCATACAGAGGATTGTATGAGAGAGCACCCATGCACACCAACCTGCCTCCTCTCCTGTCCTCAGCATGTGGTCTCACCCTGTTGTCTGAATGTAAACAAGTCTGAAAACATGATCTTGGATCCGATTGATGAAATAAACACGTTTTTAAATGAACCTCTGGTCATGTCACCTATAGTCAGTAGGTTGTGATGGGAGGCTCACACTTCAACACTGTATGTTGGGATGATTGTTACTTTGATTTCTGGATTTCTACAATTTTGCATTCATCAAGGCACCATAGAAGAAGTGTTACCTGTGTGGTTCTACTGAATGCCAAACATCCCAACAATTTAAAAGTTACTCTGAAAGATTTTAATATTTCACTTCTGTAACATTTGAAAGCATACAAAGCAACCCCTCCAATGCTGCCATATATTGTTGGGGCCAGCATGTGATCTCTGAGACCTTTCATCCTCCATTCAGTATTTTGAGCTCCTCACCTCCTCTAAACACCCAATACAAAGGAAACACTGTAGAGGCCTACTCGACAGTGCATACTTGTGATGAATAGTTTTACACTGTGGGCCACAGTGTAAAACTATGGGCCGCCTTAACCTAATGTTAGGCCCCGGGGCTGAGAGGTTTGGTAGGCCCCCCATCCAGTCGATTTATAGAGTCTCATTTTAAAAAAAGTGTAATATCTAGGTAATCTACATCACAAAATGCATTAGTTTCTTTCGTGACATACAACAGTGAGTTTTCCCTCTTTGAGCCAGAAAACACCATAATATTGTTTTTAACATATCACTGAGCCCACTTGAGCATAAACACAAGACACTTTATTTAACAACCACACACAGCAACTTATGGTGATAATAAAACCAAAATGTGTGAAACGATATTATGAAAAACATCACCAACCATCACCTGTCTGCACAAACATTGATAATAACTGATAACAGCATAAGCAAAGAACAGCAACAGATCAAAGTAGGAGCCTCTTCTCTGGCCTCAGCGGGCCCTGGGAACCAATCACATGCACCTGCACAGACACACAAACACACTCCATTCAGCACCATGGATAGCAACATGGCCTAATGCCAGGTACCAAAAAGATGAAACTGAGCAACAGTTATTGAAGGTTTGCAGTATAAATGTGCATTTCTCTTAAAACAATGCATAACCACAACAATTTAAAACCTGCACAACCTATAAATACAGCACTTTCTTACCTTTTTAGAAGTGCTTTCGTCTGGTCTTTGAAGAAAAGGCCCTAATTATGTCCTTTAAATCCAAATCACGAAGGATGTCATGCTCAATAGACATCAGTGTGAGATGACTGACTCGGTCTTGCTGCATGCTAGATCGCAGTCTATTTTTCACCAAGTCCAGTTTGGAGAAGGACCATTCTCTGCTCGCGTTGGTCACTGGCATAGTCAGGAATAGCCGTAGACTACCTGCTGATGGTGAATAATATAATAGAATAATAATTTAAGCATTTCTCCCCAGAAATGTATTAATTCTCATTATCATCAACAAAATTTCTCAAATGTTTGCTGAAAGCTCGACAGCCATGCTAGCAGGTCTGTGAGGTTGTATGGCAGTGTAAGAGCTAAATGCTAACATTAGCGTGCTAACATGCTCACAATAACAATGCTATGTTTACCATCTTAGTTTAACATGTTAGCATGCTAACATTTGCTAATTAAACACCGAACAGCTGAGGATGATGGGAATTTTCAGGTTTTTTTGACCTGAACATGAAAAGTTATGGTTGCTTTAATTCACCCTGACGGAAACTTGAATGAATAAATTAAATAAATTAAAAATGTTTTATAATTTCAAATGTCAACCTCATGGTGGCGCTACAGGAAAAGTCAGAGGATAAAAAAAAAAGTAATTTGGACTTTCCTATGTAATCCATCCGATAGTTGGGGAGATACTTCAGTCTGGACCGAACGTGGGGGACCGACAGAAGGACAGACTGACATTGCCCTCTCTGGAGCCACGCTGCTAGCTGATAAAAGTGCTGAGGAAATGTGGAAACTGTTTTTATTCGTACAGTGTAATAGAAATGCACTCTCGCAGTACATTGTTAACAAAACTGCGTAAGGAACCTACAGGTTGTATCCGCTCTCCTACACCTCCAGTCAAAGAAAGACACAGTCACACGTGGCAAAAATCTATTAAGTATTTATTGTAAGTTGTTACATTTAGATTTCTTTCTCTAGCAGCACTATTTAAATTACAGATATTCAAGGGCAGTTACCATAGATTGGAGTTTTCTCTTAATGCAAGATGTCATCGTGTAAACAAAGACAGAGACTGAACCGTAGATTAAAACATACCACAAACTGAACACGCTGTTGACGTGAACTCATATGAAGTTAAAGGCTGATGAACAACAATTTTTGTGTCTTTTGAGATAAAACAAAAAACAATGACTCAAATAAACCTGTTAAAATAAATTAAAACAGTACAAAACCTTTTTTTTTGTGACACAGGTACAATTTCCGTTGAATCTGATATGGTTGCTTGTAATCCACATCAGCCACACTTTAAAATGTTCAGTGCCTGTTTACAAAGTCTTCAGGTCTGTTGGTTACATGGCAATGAAGTAGATTATATGTGGATGGTTCAAAGAGATGACACAAACCCACAACAGCAATGTGAAAAGACAAATAACGAAATGTGTTTTCATAAGGAACAGAACAAGTGATTTTATATTCCAACACTTCTTTTGACCCCTTTACATTGAAACAAAAGGTCGATTATAATTTTGGCACATACTATCCACCAAAGAAGCATTGTTGTACTTACTGGGACAGTTGCATTGACCACTGATTCAGGCAAATTGAACCTTGTTTTTACTTTTTTTTTTATAAATGTTACAAGCTCAACTATTTTTATTAAAGAAACATTTTGACATTCGGGAAATACATTTACTCGAGCTAACACGCTAGACGAGAATATATGAAGCTGGAGGCAACAGCCGGTTAGCTTAGCTTGCTGTCTGACACGTTAACCCTTATAAAGCAATTATTTGTTTTTCACACTTTTTTACGCATTAAACAAACAATATACAATTATTGAGCTTTAGAAGAGTCAGTAACAGTTTCACCCTTTTAGTCTTAGGTATCTAGTCCTAGCTAAGCTAAGCTAAGCGGCTGCTAGCTGTAGCTTCATAGTCAGAGCACGAGAGGGGTCTTCTCATCTCAGAAGAAGAAGAAGAAGAAGAAGAAGAAAGTTAGTATCATGGAGGGTAATTTCCCAAAATGTTGAACTGTTTCTTTAAAGACTCCCCTCCCCCGTCACATTTTAGAATTTTACATTTTGCTACTGTTAATTAGTTGAGTCAAGTTGAGTCTTCCACATTTTCTAAACTAGACTTGGTTGTAAATATTTCTGATCTCGATTCTCCTGTCGTTGGTGAAAACTACAGTCACATATGTATCGTACTATCATGCAGAGAATGGCCAATACCAACATAATTAAGTGTTTCTCACAATGTACAAATTCTCCAATGCTTAGTGCTGTAAATTTTGTACCAGCTCTGTCTTGAAGTAGAGATTTACATCTTTATTAGACAAGGCTGGATGAGATGAGTCCCTCCTGTGCTATTCTACCGCAGAGGATGTGGTTTCGCCAAGGTTGGACTAATAAAAATCTTTTCAATGCTACACTTAAGAGATTCCTGCATCTCAGGGTGCTTTAGACAGCGACTGCCGATTAAGGATTGATGATCAGTTTCCTTTGATAAAATTCAAAGTCATGATGAAAAGCAATCAGATCCTTGGGCAGCACGACCCCGAAGATTAGGGACACAGTGCTCTGAGATGTTCGAGGAAGTTGCACAATCTATTGAACTCATGAGCTCACTCTTAACGGCTGCTGTTTTTTTTTTCTCATCTCAGCAATTTAAATCTGAAAACTAGAGGTCACATTATTTTTGTGTGGCAAGATAAGGCTCTGCAAGATAAATAAATTTTACTCCACAAAGCCCAGTTGACTCGATGTTAATAAAACAGTCAGGATCTTAGTCATCATCAAAAGTTGTCAAGCAACCAGTGAAAAACAGTGAAAAGTTGACAGACCAAACTCTATTAAAAAGCCCGCTGCACTAGCACTGTCCTGGTAAAAGTTTTGCTCTGCAAGTCATGCATGTGGAAATAACCAACCATAGATTTGTTAATACAAAGAGGGTCATTTAGTCATTCTGGCAATTCATAAGACACTCAAAACAAGAATTAAGAACCCATAACCGTCAATATTAGTGAAACATACTAGAAGAAAAATATGAACCTCTCAAAAGAGTTTCTGATATTTTTAATTGTCTGCATACTGCAGTACTTGAATACATACTCATACAGTATCGTTTATAGCAAATAACTGAATTATTTCATTTATTTAGCAAAAAGCATGCTGGATAGAAAAAATGTCACTTTTTTTTATCGCCTAAAGTGACAGTAAAATTCTTTATATTTTCACCTGCGGATCATCTCTCGACGACTGTGATCTATCTACAAAGGCATGACAAAAACCAAGAGGCTTAGGCATCTAAATCAATAAAGAGAAAAGTGATTGCCTAAAACTGTTGAAAACCAACTTCAACCAGTACCCGCACAAACATAATCTCTTTCCTCAAGTAGCACAAACACCTCTGGAATTGGTACAAAAGAGACAATATGAGGGTGACAGTATTCATGTAGGAGGAACACACATCAGTGTAATTTTTGCTGTAAAACAGGACCGTCTCTGCTCTAACTGCTAATAACAGTGTATGTGTGATTCACAGAGAGAGGAAGTGAGATAGACAGAGAAAGAGAGACAGAAAGAGATTTTGAGGTCTGTTGTGAAGCATAAAGAGGCACCAAATCCAACTGAGGGAAACACACAAAGCAGGTTTCAAACCAGCATCAGTGGAAAAACCTGTCTTTCTTTAGCCATGATGCATTGTGAGGAATTGTGGGAAATACCTATACAACATCAACTCTCCTATTCTCATTTGCATTTCGGTTCAGGAGCTAAATTTTCTGTACAAATAAAGTGTTAAAAAATAAATTATTGGACCTAAATCAAACCTCAACTCAAAGCTAAAAGTGGCTCATACGAGCTGAGTGAATGGTCTTTTTAGTAACTTATTACTGACTTTTTCTTACATCTTAGATTAGAAAAACAGAAAACCCACTTCTGCTGATGTGTTCTGCATCAACGCTACTGTATTAACACAGTGATAGTCTGACTGGATGTGGCTACAAAAAGAACAAGTAGTTGAAGAATAGAAAAATAAGTTGCTGTTGTTTGCTGATGACATAGTGCTGCACTCATTTAATTACAAATTCGCAACAGCTGTGCAGTGTCCACTGACAAACAACAAAAAGATAATGACGATAAAATGTTAATTACTTCATGGGAAGTGGATATTTTTTTTATTTCATCAATGAATTACTGGTTATAAAATGTGATTTACGTATGGACAGTGCACATCTCAAAGGCAGATACCACTAATAACTTAGCTTGTTTCCAGGTTTGCTCCAACTCATCCCTTCAAAGTGAGACTATGTAACTTTTGAATGAAGAAATAATACAGTCCGACTCTTACAAATGAAAATTCATGAGCGGTAAAACGCACCTTTGCTCAATTCAAAATACTCAAAAGTTTTTGGTGTTGCAGCCTTACTTGGCCTGGTGTGACCGCTAGCTTGTGGTGGCTACTGTTAGCTAATGCAAGCAAACGTCACACAGATCTTGCTGCGTAATCTCTAGATATGAAAGGGCGTTGTTTTGCACTTTTCTTCAGCCATCGTGGTTTCTCGTTTGTGCTTGGCAGGCGAGGCAGTTGTAATGTGCAACCACACCGCTAGATGCCACTAAATCTTACACACTGGTCCTTTAACTGTCACCTGTGGTAACAATGGCCTCTGTTTAGCAAAAGTTACATAGTCTTGCTTTAAAAATGACCAAATGTTACAATGAAAAATGACACGGACAAGTTCTACGTGCCCCGAATACCTTACAGGCTGGAGCTGAATATTTGTCACAGACACTCATGATGTGGTTTCTCCTTAAAACAATATTCCCCCCCCCCTCAGTTAGGCAATACTGCACTGGGTCAGCTACTACTGTTGTAGCCTGAGTAATGAGAGTTTTCTTCAGTCAGTCAACTTTACAGTCAGTCGCTTAACCGTCAGTTGAATTTCCAGTCGTCTTTATCATCTTACCAAGACTCCAGCACACAGCCACATATGTCAGACAACAACACATTTATTTGTTTTCAGCAAGGTTTCTTTTTTTATCATCACGAAGGCATATACTATTTTCTCTGTATATTACTTGTTTTATATATATATGTATATATATATAATATTTATATAGAAACAAAAATAAGCGTACATTTTTGCTGAATAAGATTGAAGAATATCAGCAAAGGGCAATGTAAACCATGGTCCATCTAAAACAGGTGAAAGGTGCGGTAGTTCGCCCTTTCCCAACTCACCCACAGTAACAGATTTGCATAGGCAAAAATGGGATTAGCCCTTAGACAGTGGATTCCTGAATTCTTTACAGAGATGCAAAATCTAGTTCAGCTCAACACAATTAAAAACAAACATACATACAAACAAAAAAATAATGTCGACTAGGCCAAGCTCTCTTTAACCCCTCTGGTCATATACATAGTCATTTTTCTGTGCACATTTTTGTTTACAGTGTTAGGCTTCAAGTAGATCTAAAAACAACTTGTACATTGACAACTAGATGTGAAATAAATTAACCAACATGAGAGGTAGTGAAAAGCCTACAGAGACGTTTTGTTGTTTTTTTTTATACAAAGGAAAAAAATAAAACGTGTCAGTAAGGCCAAAGCTTCGCAAACCTCCTCCACCCTATCAGGTCACTTCAGCTCTCAACCTTGTTTTCAGTCAATAAAACCACAGCCACGTTTCAAAAACCCACTCACTTGGTACCCATGGAAATTTAAAGACAAAAATCTAAACTCAGCGATGACACTACATCACTTCACATCATCATCATTGCTTGTAAAATCCACATTTGAAATGCAGTTATTAAAAATAAACAACCGTGTACTTTTCCCCACTGTGTAAAAGTCATAATAAATTAAGAGGAAAGGACGTAAGCAGACTCTGTCCTCCCTGTAAAACACTGTTACCTGGGTTTCTGCTGTGTCTGTCCTCCCTGTAAACCCTGTAAAGTGCTAACAGTGAGTTAGCACAGGGCAGAGTCTCGTACCAGCCTTAAACCTGCTGGCTTCTCTGCTCACACCGGGGACAGCTGGCTCCCCACTGTTACGAGCATTTAATAAGGTAAAACACATGTCACAATTTATAAATGTAAACTTGGTTTAATTGCACCATGATTTCATTATCTGGTTCTTGGTGAAACATTCTCGTGTTAATTACTGTGTAGACTCAGCGACGAGGAAACATAGCTTTACTGTGCAGAAGAGGGATTTGTCTGCGAGAGAGAGAAGGCATTTTTCTACTGAGTCATAAAGTTACAGAGTTGTCCAAATACAACATCTAAAATGCTTATGTATCCCGGAAATGAAAACAGCTCCAAGGAGTAAGTGTGAAAATTGATCCTTATTGTATCGGAATTGGTTAATTACTCTGTATTCCTCTGCTTCTGATCAACTGAGCGCATGCATGCTCACACAGCTCTTTATTAAAGCAGCTAAGCAATATCAGTCAAGTCCTTATCGGTATTAATGTTGTCGGCATGTGTATTGCCAAAGGTTAAATGTGTACGTGCGGAAATTTTCAATAATTGCAAAACTGATTACTGGTTTAAACTTTCTTTACTTAACAGTGTCAATTTTACTGATTCATAACCTATATTTCACAACTGAAAGCTTTCATGTTAATTTGATATCTTGGTTTTGAACTGGAAGTTTCATCCAGTTGGTATTTTGGCACTGCAAGTTAAGTAAGTCCCATGATTGCATGGGCTTTACCATTTAGATTCTATTAGAGAAACAGAATGATCTGTTTCCTTGTTATGTTCCTCTAGTAACAAGAGGAACTCAACAAGGCTAACAAGAGGCAGCCAGATTCTTGAATTTGGTGGCATTAAAACATTTTGAGTATCTTAAAAGGTGTATATCGGTTAATAATTCAAAAGATTACCTTCTGACAATTTAAAACCAATCTAACATAGTGGGACACAGCATCAAGTAGACTCCAATCTATAATCACTAACTACATCCAATTGCACTTTGATAGTCTGCCAGACATCCTGCATGTCTACTCCCTAAATTTAATCTAGACCAAACTTGGCACGTGAACTTCAGGTAGTTAAAGGAGATAGCAACGTGGATGCCTACATTTATCAGTGAGGTGTGGCACTGTTTCATTGACACTTTAAGACTGCACTAACCACCAAACCAAGAGGTCTGGTATCTATCATGTGACATAATCAATATACTTGGAGGCCCAGTTCATTAAAAAAAAAAACAAAAGGAAACAAAAGCATATACTGCACTCATGCACTTTCTACTGCACATCCACAGGCCAGGAACAAAGCTCATGTTCAAAAGTTCACATCATCAAAAAACTAAATGTCCTTTTTATAGACTAAAAATGTAAGTGGGACATTTGGCAAGACCCCTCTTTAAAGTTTTTTTTTTTTTCTCCCAAAATGTTCTGTTAAGTGTGTAACTGTACCATACACACACACATAGCCATTATCATCGCATGCTGTCAAAGTCAGATTAGAAAAACAAAACAGTGTGTGTGTGTGTGTGTGTGTGTGTGTGTGTGAGTGAGGGCTGGCAGTGAGATGGAGGGTTAGCATGGCTAGCACAAGCACGCTAACTGCTTGCCTACAGCATGCTGAAACCTAGCGAGCCCAGTACGGTAGCATGTTAGCATTGTTATACCAACCCTCTTCTCTAGCTCTGGTAAAAAAAAAACAAGTGTCTTGAATGGGCAGTAGCTAACTGAAGGACTACTATACACTCTCCCAGCTTCATCTGCTGGAGAAACAGACCTGCACTGGAATGACCAAGACTTTACATCCTGGTGACAAGTCACATCTAATATCTCTTCACAGCATCTTTGACATCATGTTTGGCACCCGGGTCACAAATCTGCAGCGTGATATTGAACGTCCAACTCCGGGGACTGTCGCATTACCTACAGCATCTAAAGCTAAAGCCTTACAGACAAAGGCCAGGGCTCAATAACCCTTTGAATTAGATCAGTGCCTGCTGCGTCTGCTCCAAGCAGAACCAGCTTTCCATAATGCTCAATTCATTCTTCAACACTAAAACCCTCTTTTTCTGCTCAATGTATGTAGATGACTATTTGGAGTCAATGTGGGTGTGTTTTGATTTTCTTCAGCGGCCCCCCCCCCCCACAGTGGGCACCTGTGCTTGTCAGGCTGTGATGGTTTGAGTTGAAGGGAATAGGGAGGAGGGAGGGAGTGGGAAAAAGATGGGAGGTAGGGATCGTTGGACAAACTGTGGTTGCTTTCCAGAAAAACTCAAGCAGCGCTTGTGCTGCCTTTTCTTACATGTAAAGGCATTGTGATTTTCTCAGTGGAGAGATTTTTTTTGTTTAAAGTTCACGAGTAATAATAATACATGTAGCTGCCCAACCACAATTCTAGCCCTTACTTCTCCCAGTTAAAGAATCCTAAAGAAGGAAAGTGCTTGGACGGACGGACAGATGGATGGACAGGTGGATGGATGGGTAGGTGCTGCTGCTGCCTTTGCTGCAGAAGCAATCAAATCTCCTCAATAAAAAAACTGCAGTATGCTTTAAATTGGCAGAAGTGTACTTTTTCCCTTCACTGAACTTAGACAGCCAGACAGAGAGACTTAATACATCTCAATATTCAAAAAACGGTTGCAGTCCACGGCTTACATGGTCAAGCTACTGTAGAGAGAGAGAGTTACATGCAGAGCCAGTGCTTCTACTGGTTAAATGGGCAGACGCGCCCTAACTCCCACCAACAACAACTAGGTGTCATGTTTGGACAAACGAGAAATTAAAAACAAAATTAAACACATCTGAGGAAAAGGACAGAATTAGAAAAACAAAACAAAACATATTAAAGAGAATGAGTAAAGTTAGAGAATATTAAAGTGAGGGTAGAAAGCATGAGGTCTAAATATTACAGTACAGGAACAGTTGGCTTGTCCTTTTTTTTGTCTCTCTCTCTCTGTTTCTGTCCCCACCGCCTGAGGAGTCCTTGTCCACAGTTTACCAACAGCTGGCCATCAGGTTGGCCACTTCAACCGACAGCTGACACGTTGGTTGGCCAGTCAACCGTAACAAACAGCACAAATCACTAGCGAAACAATCACTGGCCAGCATTAATGGTCTTAAATTGACCAATAACCAACCAGCAAAGGCCGACCTGGCTCCAGTGGAGAACTGGATATAAATTGCTTAAAAAATATAAATAAAAAAAACAACCAGCTATCTCGGATGTCATTCAGTCTTTTCAATCAAAAAAGAGGGAGAGATTTTCCAAACCCGACTTCTGGCACCATAGTAGTATTTGAAGTTTAAGTAGTAGTCTCGTTGGCGTACGATGGCGATGAGGAAGGGTGGAGGGGTCTAGGTGTCGAGGCAGGTGCGCCTCCTGTTGGCCAGGAGGTCTCTGTAAACGGAGGAGTTGAGGAAACGGGGGAAGGAGTCACGGTGCATCAGGGTGTAGATCTGGAACTGGGCCTCCTCGTACATCAGGTTGCTGGGCTCCGCTAGGGTCTGGTTTATTCCTTCTCTGACCCGCGAGTCCAAACTCACCTTGGGTAAGGAGAACAAATTCAATGTATAAACCTCAGTGGTTTGTTGAGTACCAGGGCCTTTATTAAGGCAGTACACAGACTTTACAGGAAGACTTGCATTAACAATTTGATTAAGCTGGCAACAACATGGCAGATCATTTTCACTAACAGTCTACACCCATGCTAGTAACTTTGTTAGGCTGCACTTCAACATCAGCATGCTAACACGCTCAGGTATAATGTTTAGCATAGTGTGTTAGCATGCTAACATTTGCTTATTAGGACAAAACACAAATACAGCTAAGGCTGATGGGAAGGTGTTTTGCAGATATTTGGTAATAAAGTATTAAAGTATTGAAGTCATGATGGCGCCATATGGAAAGTCAGGTGATCAGCAAAGTGAATTCATCCTGATGGGAACATCGATGTCTCAGATATTTCCCTAAAAACAACCGCAGTCAACCTCATGCTGGAACTAGAAGCCATAAGGACTCGTAACCTGAGGACTATGAATGTCTGTACCAAATTTCACAGCAATCCCTCCAATAGTGGCCGAGATATTTCAGTCTGGAACAAAATGGCGGACAAACCGAATGACTGACCAACACCGCCATCCTTAGAGCCACGCATCCAGGATGGCTGAAGACTGGCCTTCTCTTAAAATGACTTAAGAGGTTAAATTATTTTTGATTTCACCATCAATTCTATTTACTCTATATCTGTGGTGGCTCACTACTGCTGAATTAATACAAATACAGCTAATACCTCTTTGGGTGATAATATGGACACGTAGTCTTCGTAAATGATCCTGGCTTTCTCTTCCACCACTGAGGGATTCGTCTCCTTTTTCAGCTCTTCGCAGGCCAACCAGAAAAGCAGGTTGTCCTCGCTGTACTCCGAGCGCAGGAACTCCTGGAAGACCTCCCGGCCCTCCAACGAGCGCAGCATCATCTCAAAGCTCCGTGACCATGACAGCAACTCCTCTAGACTGGGGTGTCTAAAAATGAAGACGTGCATTCGTGTGAGACAGACGGAGGCGCACAAACACACACACGCTCATACCGACACAAACATGCAGGACTGGAGGGACGATGGCTCAACTTACTGTTCTTCTGCCGCTTCAATACTGTCCATCTTGGTGCAGGTCTGTCGTTCACTCCTCTCCATCCTGTCTTCATTCCTGGATTGGAGACAAGAATTGATTATGTTTGCCTCGACAGAAAATTGGACATGTTTCTGGCAGTTTAGATACGTTTGAGTTCACTTGTAGATGGATACAATAACCAATCATTACCTGCTTCTAATGGCTGATACCGATAAGATAACCAATAAGTTCACATTTTTGTATTTTAAAAAGAAGTTCATAATCTGTAGTTTTTATACACCTGATGGCAAGAAAGGCTAAGACTGAGCAAAGCTGGTGAGGCTGCAACAATACATTGATTGTGATCAGTAAAAAGAAGAAACAACTTAATTCCTCCCTTTCACTAGGGATGTCTGATCAAAAAGATCAGTATGAGGGCTAATGGAGTTTGTCTCTAGTTCCATGGATTCACCAGCTGTCAAAATACTCTAATGCCCTCTGTTAAGGCCCTGGAATCACTTTATAAGTCACAGCATCGTGAGCAGGTGAACCACGGAGCCAAACGAGTAAATTAATGGCAGCCAGGAGTTTCAATTAATTATATCTACACTGACAGCAATGCGCCAGTGACAGGCGCTTTGGTTAATAAACACTTTATAGACTGTCTAAACCTTCCCACCAAAACAGTTTCTAACTTCACCCTCCGTTAGTACCATTCAAAATACCACAGGGCAACATGCAAAATGCCACTGGAAAGCATTAAAAGAGAGCTGTGATGCAGGCTCCATTTACTTCATGCGGAGCTGTTCAGCAGTAGATTAGTTTTTCATGTACATTACGCTAAATTTGCAAAGTACCGCTGCACAATGTAGAATTAGCATACTAATAGATACTGGAATTTTTTCCCTTTTACCATAATTTCACTGCATATTATTATTATAAATTCTACCATTTCATGTGAAATTCTTAAACTTTTAAAGCCTTGCGGCCACTGATCATGGATATTGAACGCACTCTTTGGGCTCCCCGTTGTTGTAAGTCCCCTGAGTTTTGCAAAGTCTGAGAGAATGACTCAAGTGACATCATGCTATTGTGTGGCATTACAAGAAATGTAGGATCCATAAAAAATGTTTTAAAGTATCTTGGTCTCTGCAGGTTGAATTTTAACCTTTTCTTTTCTAAATCGGTCACTTGAAAGTCCCCTGACTTTATGAAAGTGTAATACTAAATTGCGTGACCTTTGAAACCACCATATGCAAATGAATAATTGATTAAATGATAAAATAAATAACAGAAGATATGGTTAACTCTTTCAGCTATTAATCGCACTGGGAAGCAAAATAATCTACAGTAAACATTGCCATATATTCAAAGTCGACAAAACAATAAAGCTTCAGTTAAACCCTTTTAAAACACTCAAAACACACACGGTAGCCTCTCTGTCTATCGTAGCTCAGTCACACTTGCTGAGTCCACAATGCAACACACACTGAGCTGTCTATTTTTGTCTCACCATGGAGGATCTTTCCTTCCTCTTGCTGTCTCTTGTCAAAGTCCCCATTGTGCGGCAGTAATGGGCTAAGCTAGCCACAGCCCCCCGGCGCCCTCACAATACAGCTAAATATACAGGCTGTTCTTCACAGCTGTTTTGCATGTGATGTGTGGATGGAAATAGAAGGCACCCCGACTAGATAAGGGCCTTGTGTGATGGCGGGTGAGGCGGGGTTAGAGGATATGGAGGGGAGGGGGGGTTAGAAAGTAGAAAAAAACAGTGAAAGGAGAAAGAGAGGATGGATAAAAAATAAACTGTAACAGTATGCCGTGACCCATTAACACTTTCATACACACTCACCCTCAGTCTTGGCATGATAGTAAAAAAAAGGTGACACAGAGAGCATTCAGTGATTAACATGTAACTCAACACAAACCTGCAAATTACTCCTCCCAGCCTGGGCACTAAAATAAATAAACATTTAGGGTACTGAGGACAATTTTCCAGGCTCATTCAGGAGAACTGACACCAGCATTTGATTGAAAAACACACAGCAGAGTCATAGAGCACTCACTACAGGCCCAGTCCACAAGCTGCCACCACTTCAGATGAAGTGGTGTGAAAGAAGCAACACATTCACCATTCACTGCCTGAAAACAATGTTTCATTCACTCCTCTCTCCCGGGCGAGAGTGCAGCCACAGTGAGGCAGCTGTAAGAGCCACCAAGAAGTTACTGGGTTTGGTGCCTTGCTCAGGGGCAAGTCTGTTTCTGACCTACGGTGCAATCTGTAAGAGTTAGGACATGGATACATTTTTGTTGTTGTACTGGCAATGCACTCCTTAATTTGAGATTTGTCTACACGTACATCAGATGAACAAGGTAGGAATTAAAGCTGCAACTAATGATTATTTTCATTATCAATTAATTAACAAATTGTTTGGTTAAAATGCCAATCACAGATTCCAAAAGCCCAAGTTGACACACTTACACAGACTTTATTGCTTTTGTGAAAAAACCTTAAGATTTTCAGTTTACAATCATAAAGGAGTAAGAAAACACCAAATATTCACATTTTGAGAAGCTGGAACCACTGAATATTTGGCATTTTGCTTAAAGAATTATTCAGTGATTAATAGATTATCAAAATCCATTAATTGGCTAGCACTTTTTTTATACAAACTCCCCTGAATTTTAGGGGACAACATGTATCAAAGCCTAAATAAAGTAATCATATTTATCATTAATCATGTCTTTTGTGTACCATCCTTTAACATCACCAGACACTTGACCTGTGCTGTCTTAACCAAGTGAAACATACATGCATGACCAGTCATTAAATCTAAATTTGTGCCATAAAAAAACCTCACTGTTTTATTTAACTGTATATCATTGTCCTGCTGTACTGTCCTATGAGATGGAGACTGTACAAATAGAGCAGCTAGTCCTACAGTGTTCGTCCAATAAGGGTGTAAATACCTCAGACACATTTAAAGGAATAGTTTGATATTTTGGGAAACACTTTGTTTTCTTGTAGAAAGGTAGAAGATTGGTACAATTTGATAAACATGAAGCTAAAGCCAGTAAACAGTTTGCAAAAAGACTGGTAACGGTCCAAAGTTTAACAAATATACATACAGTGCCTCCAAAGTTAACACGTTATCTCTCATTAATTTAAATTAATAAATACATTGTATAACTATTATTTGGCCACCTGGGAACCACCAGAGACTCCAGGAAGTCACTTTCCCAGAATCTCTGGTGGTTCCCTGTACACCCAAAACCTGTTTTTACCTTTCTGTTTGTGTACAGATTAAACAAACAAGATATAACATGTTAATACCATTTAGAGGTAGCGATAAGCACATTTTTTTAAATTTAACTAGCTGTTTCCAGTCAATGCTAAGCTAAGATAATATGCTAATGGCTCCAACATAATAGTTAAGGCACATATATAGGAGTGGTGTCAATCTTCTCATCTAACTTTTAAAATAAGTTTATATCCCGAAATGTTGAGCTAAAACAAACTAAAACAATGAAAACTGTCCCTACCTGTCCAACTATTCACACACTGTTTAGTAATATGACTTAAAAAAGGGAGAAATAGCTGCCCTGCACTAATTTTTCCATAGCAGTTGCATTACCAACCTTTGTGATTTTCAAATACTCATAATGGCTTCAAAGCCTTGGCCGCCTGATGTATATCCTCCTCTGGAACAGGTGCCTTTTGGGTAACAAGGAGACAAGCCATCCTCGAACTAAAGACACTGGGTTGAAGCCTGTGTGTCTGCCCTGCTGAATGTTCCTCTTGCAAAAAAGTGAGCAAATACATTGCACCGTATCAAATGTACTTTTGCATTTGATAAGGTGCAATGAGTTTTTGCATAATTTCCATTCACTGGCCCGAAGGCACATCGTCATGAACGTCACAGGGCTTGTGTATTACAGAACTGCTGATATACAGTAAAGGAGAACCCCAACCAGTACACAAAAATACCAACTGTGAAAAAATAAAATCACGCTGCGGAGGAGCTGCAAATGCAGCAACTATAAAAACAGTTGTCATTGTTTGCACGTTGTTGGAATTTATTACAAATTACATGATCAACCACAGTGTTGTGTTTTGTTTAGGGAAGTCCCCCATCATTTTGGGACTTTTTATGTATCCAAATCGAGTGTCTAAAAATAGAGAAAGCTCATTATACTATACACTATATATATAAAACTGAGTAGACTTCATAATTGTTCAACTCTGAACACTGTTAAGTATGGGTTGATTTGTAGACTGGTTTACTGACTCCCAGGCTCTGCACTGGATCCAGTGTCAGAATAAAGTCTGCATTTTTTCAGTTGAATTTCTAGGGAACTCAGCTCAGTGTAACATCACAGATTAGGCAACAAGATTAAGAGCAGGACCAACTGTTTGTTGTTTCAGGCACTGTGGGTATATTTTGTTTCCAAATACAACTAACACTGTTAGTTGTCAACAGTCTAATAATGTAATGTTTAAAATGTGCTCTACACTTGGAATATCTCTATTTTGCATGATCAAATATGGTCAGACACTGTATTGGTCGGATGGTTAAATTTATACTTGATGCTTCTAAGCCGCTTCAGACAAGTCAATGTATCACAAGTAATGTTGTCAATTAGTCTCCAATCAAAACAAGTTACTGGCTGCGAAAAAATACATTCTGAAAGTCACCAGATGACGTGATGCCACATAGCTGGTACAGCCTGCCAGCCCTTGCTCAAAGCTCTTTGAAGTGGCTGTACTGTAGTTATCAACTGCTTCTCTCTTCTCATCTCCAACTCGATTTTAGATCTGTTTATGGTCTCCACCAACTCTTCAGTTGCTAAGGGCTCACTATGAAAGTGCTGAGAATTAACCAAAACAGTGAAGTTGCAGCCGAACAGCTAAAACATTTGCTGAAACAAACTACAAAGCTCTGTAAAGCAGAGGGGAGCTGAAGATTCAGGTGGTAATTCTCTGTAGGTTCATCATTATTCAAGCATTTTCACATTATTTTCCCATTGTCATTAGATACATTATTAATTATACAACATTAATTATTGCTGCTTTAAAGACAGTATTGTATCTTGAGTTACAGTCTTCCTGTAAACACAGTGTATAGAATAGAATAGTACAGTATACTATAGTGTAGTACAGTGCAGTACAGTACACTGTAGTACAGTGCAGTACAGTATAGTATAGTATAGTACAATATAATATACTTTAGTGTAGTACAGTGCAGTACAGTATAGTATAGTATACTAGAGTATACTATACTCTAGTGTACTACAGTGCATTACAATATAGTATAGTACAGTACAGTGTAGTGCAGTGCAGTATAGAATAATATAGTACAGTATAGTATACTGTAGTACAGTACAGTATAATATAGTCGAGTGCAGTACAGTAGAGTATAGTACAGTAGAGAATAGTACAGTAAAGTATAGTATACTGTAGAACAGTAATGTATAGTATAGTACAGTATAGTACAGTACAGTATAGTATAGTATACTGTAGTACAGTACAGTACAGTGTAGTACAGTACATTACAGTACAGTGCAGTACAGTATAGAATAATATAGTACAGTACAGTATAGTATACTGTAGTAAAGTGCAGTACAGTATAGAATAATATAGTACAGTACAGATGTATACTGTAGTAAAGTGCAGTACAGTATAGAATAATATAGTACAGTACAGTATAGTATACTGTAGTACAGTACAGTACAGTGTAGTACAGTACAGTATAGTAGTATTTTCTTACCACAGACACTTGCAGCAGCCGCACCAGCAGAGGCAGCAGGTGTTGGGTCGGGGCTGTCCAGGGGCCTGGGGTGGGGCCTCGATGTGTGCCGCCTGCCTTTTTCTCATCTCCACTCCACTCACACTCCGGGGCTTCACAATGGATACACACAGAAAAAAACACACTTTTCACAATTCAAATAAACAATAATGTAACAGAGAGCTCAGGTTCAAATGTGGTCAAATGTGGATAAAATAAATTGTGTGTGTGTGTGTGTGTGTGTGTGTGTGTGTGTGTGTGTGAGAGAGAGAGAGAGAGATGAAGTGAGAGAGAGAGCACTCAAGCAGGACAAAGAGGATTCCCTTCCTTGTACGGTACGAGGATTTCTGGCATTAAGCCAAGTCTTTCACTTGGCTTTGACAGACACTACACATACATTTCAATGGGTGCAGACAGAGGGAGAGAAACGGGGTCTACACATTGCAGGAACAAGACACACAAGTGCAATAAATACACAAATTCATGCACACTCATATCAACATCCAGATGTTTCTATATCCATCTCCTGTCTGGCCTGTTGTTGCCTCAGAATGTGCAGCATCCTTTGAACAGGCAGGAGATAAGGATGTTAACAGGGATACACCATAAAACTAATATTGCGGTGCCTCCTTTATATAGTGACCCAGTGGACACACTGAATGTGTTGCTGTTGTCTAATGGACTTTGATTTGTTTTAAATGGGACCAGCGCTTCATAGCACTGGAGATACACAGTTATTGGTTGCGGTTTCTACTCAAGCTTTGATGTTTCTGTTTCTGAAATTAGCTCTTTAATGAAGCAAATATGCGCAGTATGTGGTATGTGTGTAAACAGACTGATGATGGCACGATCTGTCATATATTAATTTAAACCCTCTCAAATGCAGAGGTTTACTTAAGTAGTTGACTGCCTTTTGGTTTCATTAAAACATAATCTATGGTTTATTTGATTGCCTAATGAAAATAAATATTAGTTGAAATTGTGAAAAACCTTTTAAGAACAGTAACAGGAATGTTAAAGGGTCACTTCACTCAAAAATGAGGTGGATGGTGGTGAATAGAATTTTATTTCTGCAACTCAATAGGTGAGATTTGAAAAACTCAAAGGCAACGTGTCTTTCCAGAAACAAGGTCTCGGTTACTAAGAATAATCCACGTATCTCACTAGGGCCGCAATTGTGTTCATTATCAACTAATATGGCAGTTACTTTCTCGATTATTCCATAAATTGTTAAGTCAATGAAAAGTAATAATAATAGAAAAAAAATTCAATTTAAATTACATCTTTTCTCTTTTTTTTTTTTTTTTTTAAAGTTTTCTAGTTTAAAAAAGACTAACAGCCTTAAACCTTGAGATAGTCCTGTAGTGTTCAGAAAAATGACTGAAATGATTAATCATGATTAGGAAAATAACTGACTTCGCGATTAATCAACAAATCAGGATTTTCTACTGAATAAATGTTACTGATTCCAACAGACTGACTTTGAGTATGTCATTTTAGGCATTTTGTGCAGTGGAAGTGGTTAATGAACAAAAGATTCAATACTGTTACTGAGTGGAAGGCTCAGAAAAGAGGGTCAGTATTGTTCTTCATCATCAGCTGCTACTTGAATTCAACAAACCTGCACTGTTTGCCACAACTTTCCTTTCGAAAAATTTAGCAAGACTTTGATGAGCTACCCCTCTGCCGCTGCAGCTGTACGTAGGCATGATCTTAACTTAATTGGCCTCCAGTAACAAAAGTGTGGACCTAACATCTATGTAACCTTCCTTATCCTTAAAGTCTCTGTGCACAATCCCGTCATCACCTAGGGTTTTCCCTGGCCTTTAGAAGCTTTGAAGGTGAATGTTCCGGCCTTGCAGGTAGAAGAAGTGTGAAGAGGCACCTTGACATCACACAACAGCTCTGACAGCGGTTTTCAAACCCTTTAGGCTACTCTAAATAGAAATACTACTCTCTAAGAACTCATTCTAATGCCGGAGATAATAACATACAGTATAGTCTAAGGCAGGCTTTTTCATCTCCCTCCAAGTGGAAGATAATAACACTTGGCGAGCTTCTTATGAGCCGGGAAAAACCCTTATCCCATTGTACGGTCAGCTTAAACAGCTCTCTCACAGATAGTCCAACAGCCAAAGTCTACACCAGGTAACACTGCGAAGATCAGCTAAGCAGAGGATGCCATGTCAGAAGTAATTCTTCTTTTGTTACCAGATAGAGGACATAATAATGAACACAGACTCCACTTCACAATTTGGGGCTTTTAAGCTTAATTTCAACAATGGGCATAGTGTGAAAAATGCACTAATTAATTGCAGTCTTGTCATCTGGAAATAAAAAGTACAATAAAATAAACAGAACTCTTACCTCGAGAGTCATGGTTCAAATTAAACTCCTCATTAAACCCTTCAATCCAAATAAAAATAACTGTGTACCAACAGAGGAGCCTTCTTTTCCTCTCTTTCGTTCCCTGTACTCTGAAAACAAATCTACTACAATGACGATACACGGCAGGTAAGGCTGTGACGACCTGCCTGATATGCAAATGTTGTCGCCTGGCTAGTGGAGTGGCCATCAGTTATTCAGCGACCAGGCAGCGTCCGTGGAAAAACAGGCTGCTGGATGCAAAAGACAGCGAGGCTACGGCTTTGTTCTAAACCTGGAGAAGGAGGCCGCATTGACAGGACATGCAAATATTGAGTGGAAATACAAATACACTGAGATGAGAGGGGGGAAAAAAGCGATGACGAAAAAGAGAGCTACAAGATCGGTCTAACATGCATTGGTTTTTTCTTAAGTATCCAGATGATCCCCCCCTCACTTTTTACACATTTTATTTATTATCTATAATTGATTGAGGAGGCAAACATTTGAACAACCAAAATATAGGAAGTCATATCATCCAAAATCTGTTCTCTCCGCATATCTTATCCGATATGCGCCGATATAAAAAAAATTTTTTTATGGTAAATAATGCAGAGAAATGTGGTAATATTTAGTTGTCACTGCAAAGTTCATCCAGCAGAGTGCAGTGTGATTTATAATACTGTGGCAAGCAGCACAGAGTAAAAGAGAAGAAGCAGCTCTCAGCAACGTCAACTAGAATTGGTTGACAATGTACATGTTAAATTATTAAACATGTTAAAGAATATTCAACCTAAATATTCTTTAATAAAGTTGTTTGTTTAGGAAAGCAGCCTTCTGAGTACCGTTGCATTGTCATATCGGTGCAAAATCAGTGCACATATACATATATCAGTTCTGCTGGGCTTAACATGTGACTGACATTAAAAAGTAATCAAATAATCATAATACTTTCACAAAAATATCTTAACTCAAGGTCCACCAAAAAAAATCATTTTGTGGCTTTCCTCAGCGGATTGGGTTTGTTTAGTTGTCATGGAGATGTTATAAAGTACTCGTAAAGATAAACATTTCCATGACATCGAAGCAATGACCACTGAGGAACACTGCAAGGTGCGGTTGACATCGTAACAGTTAGTTATTGGACCTTGAGTTAAGATCATTTTTCCGAGGTCAAATAGTCGCCCTTTGTTGCAATGGCGATTTCGGGGTCCAACTATTATCATACAGGATCTGATAAGTTAAGCTTTATCTGGAGTTTGAAAACTCTGGACAGGAATAACCATGCTAAAGGAATGTTATTTGTTCTGCAGAAACCTTAAAACTTTAAAACCTCAATCACAAACTGCCATTATGTTATATTACCAATAACATAATTTTTTTACTCTGATGGTTAGGGCCGCATGGTTTTTTTATGTTATGAGACATTTTACACCTCACCGACCAAAACTTGCCTCTATTTCAAAAGAGGTAAACTTGGAGATACAACGTCTCCTTCGGGTACTGCTAATAACATTAGACCATCACACATCACACTGGATGGCAGTTAAACTTACCATGAATTAGTGAGTTCCTAAAAACAGGTCAGACAGAGCAGTCATGGTGTGAGGTAATAGGTTGCTGGACGATAGCAGGCTGGTTGACTGAGTGACTGACTGGTGGACTGTCTGGGCGTCGGTTCAGCTTTCTGGAGATGTGGGGCAAGGCGAGAACGTTCTTTTCACCACTAGGAAGAGAAGTTACTGGTCTCACCATCACTGACCGACAGGCACAGAAAGGGACACGAGAGCTGAGGTGAAATGTAACTACTTCCTGTCCTTTTTTCCTTATTTCTCTTGATTCACTCGCCGTTGCCTCCTAGGCTTCCTTGGTTCTCGATGAAAGGGTCATTTATGGGCTTGAGAGTACAGGGAGCGGTAAAAGTACAGCATCTGAAAAACAAAGCAAAAACTTTGAGCTTTACAGTAAAAATCGGATAATTTTATCCACCAAAGGCGCAATTATTTATCTTTAGAGACAATGGTGAGGAAATATATCTGCTGCTTCCATAACGCACACTGACAAATGCCCCAGTGAGAGCAGAACCCCTCTCAATACATTACATACTGTATCACTACACTCACATGATCTATAGAGTGAACAGTACTGAGTCTGAGACTTTAACCAATAACAATATATCTGCACATATTCATTTTTGATAACAATCCCCTTCAATTTGTCAGAATTGTGACTTTTGTCGGGTTCAGACGATACGATATTTTGTATCTGTTAGGATGGTCTCTGCGTCAGATTAGGCGATTATAGAAAGTCACAAATTCTTTCCGAGATCCAAACATAGCTCGCCATCTTTCACGACCTGCGTGATGTCACCAGGAAGGAGGTGCTATGGAAGCGAACAATGGCGTCCAAAGTGTATGATACATGCAGTTTAGTGTTTGGAAAGGCTTAAAAAAAAGAACGTTTCACAGTTCCACTCAGCAGCACCAACAACATCATTCCTCTTTCACCGCGCCATGTTTACAGTCCGGCGCTCCTATTGGTTAACGTCACACAACACTTCTTGGATTTTATCGTCAACGGAACAACAATTCTGACACTTTAGTCTTTTTGTCAGGGCATCATGAGGCATCCCAGATGTCTGTTAGCTCATGTTATCAAACTGATATAGTGTAGTCTGAACCCGCCATAATCCTCTACATATACTGACCGGGACGGGAAAGGGAGTTGAAAAATAAACTTGCTCTCTCAGGGCTCCAGACTAACTTTTTGCATTGGTTGCACTGGTGCGCCTAACTTTTTTTTTTAGGTGCACCAGCACAAAATTTAGGTGCACCCAAATTTTTCATTGTGTCGCCTTTAACGCCACAAGGTCACCTTTTTATCGCTCTCCATAACTTTCATATAATGTGAATGATTTTTAAACAAGAATAAGGTGCAGAGAAATGCTTGTCTTTATTTGAAGCACAAATATATATAAAAAGAAAATAAAGTGTTTAAAGTGCTTCACTGAGCTGAAATTGAACATTTCAAACTAAAACACTAAGCAAAATAAAACATTTCCAAATAAAATTTCGATATGAAACGTTGTTGACCCGCTCACGAATGCACTATTTCCGGCCATATTCTGACCGCACTCCAGACAGTACACGCAGTGCATTGCGTTACGTCCTTTGTTGTACCTCAGCCAGGGAAATTGTTTCAGCCAGTCCTGTCTGAAGGCATATATTTTGGCCATTTTAATTTGGGTCTCGGAGCCGGGCTCCATACCAGACTCGGTTGTCTCCTCCTCTGGTTCCGAGTCTGATGCTGTCGCCGAAGGACCGGGTCTCGGCAATTTTTAAACACACGCAACTTAGCGCGGTGAACAGGACCACAGCCAATCAGAGGCAAAGACCCGCCCGAGCTCTGTCTCTTATTGGTTTAGAACACAATATGATCCTACCATGAGTGTGTGAGTTCGGTCACAGGAGAACACAGAGAGATGATGCGCTTATAAAAGCGAAATAAATTTATGTTTTCATCCGGGCAGCGTCAGGTGCACCAGTGCGACCTAGAAAAATTATTAGTCGCACTCTTAAAAATTTTGGTCGCATGTGCAACCAAATTGGTCGCACTCTGGAGCCCTGTCTCTGGTGGACAAACTATGTAATGGCCACAGCGTTTAAAAGTTGAAACGATTAGTTGATTAATCAAGTAGATTGGCAAAGAAATTAGTCTTAAACAATTCTGGTCATTGGCTAATTGTATCAGAACATGAGGATATTGTGCTTTTCTGTTTTAAATAACTGAAAATATGTTAAAGTTATGTTATTTTAAAGGTCCAGTGTAACATTTAGGAGAATATTTTGGTGTGTTTTCATTAGAGTTTAATCACATGAAAATTTGATTTTTTGTGTTTTCATAACCTCAGAATGTTTCAGTAGCCCCACATGGACAAACCAAACACTGGTGGTAGATAGGGCATTTCTGAATTTTGGCGAGTTTCACAGCCACCATAGTTACTCCTACACGCTTGGAAGCTGAGCGGTATTGTTTGCAATCTGCAACTTCACTGCTAGATGTCACTAAATCCTACACACTGATCCTTTGAGATGTCCCCACATGCTCTGGAAAAGTGTAATTGTATCATTTTAATTGATTAATCTGAAAAACAATAATTTGTTGCAACCCTATACTGTGTCTAAACCACTTTGAACATATCTTTGTCATTTCTGTCCGGCAGTTTCCTGTTGTTGCCGAACATACGCTGACACTGCTATATCTGCGATAAGCTACAGGATGTGGTCAAAATAAGATGGTTACGCCAAATCAGCAAGCTACCAAATGCAGTAAGTGACTGATCATCACATTTAGTTTAAACACAACCACGGCTCCACACTTACTCACAGTCAGAAGCCATTTGCTGGATTTTGTCCCTGAAGGAAACCGAGACCCTAAAGGCTACAGAGCCTCCTCGGCTGCTCTCATGCTGCATGTTTTCATATAGGAATTACTGTTCTAACAACTTGCTTACTCATAAACAGCAGCTTAGAAGTGTTCACATGTTGACCTCAACACTGGAGACTCTTTATGTTATGAACTATCACTAGTCTGTTGCAACTTGGTGACTAAAATAAGCAAGCAAAACACGAAGAAGAACTGAAGAGGGTACAGATAACCTCTAAATTCTTATTAAACAATACAGTAATATTTAAAATTACATAACGTAAAAACACATTAAACGTAACATTCTTATTAATAGGGTGTTTGTAGCGTATAATGTTTCTGTGATACCTTGAATTTGATGTATTTGTGTCTTTAGTCGGGAACAAGCGAGGGAAATTGCAGCACAAATCAAAACTAAGAGTTGACATGTACTGTAGCGACCAACCGTCCCAGCATGCTGTCTCAATACTATTCTACTGTAAAACCCATCCCTCGGTGAGAGAAGCTTCAATATCTGCGCACACCAGTTTAAACTGGTTCGAACACAACAGTGTCCCTTGTATATTAAAAGTCTATGAAGAATGTTTTTGCATGTGTCCGAAGATAAGGCTTTTGTGTTGTACTTGTGAGGGTTTCAACCGCCTGTTCTCAGGAGGAAGATGGCCACAGAGTAACTTTAGTGACACACTTCCTGAAAAATATTTAGTGTCGACAAGCATCCTTACAATGCCTGTCTGAGTTAGGTCTGAGCGAGAACTGAAATCATTAGTCGATTAATGGATTTGTCAATTGACAGAAAAAGATTTAGATTTCTGATTGATCACTTGCATAACTTTTCAAGCAGAGCTGCCATCCCCCCACCTAGTTACAGCTTCTTAACTGTGAATATGTGCTGCTTTTATCTGCTTATTAATCACTATAAACTGAAAATCTTTTGACATTTGAAGATGTCACCTCGGACATTTTTCACTACTACGTGACATTTCAACTAATCGAGACAATAATTGGCTGATTCATTTTCATTCACCTGGACGGAATCGAAAGGAAGTTTAAATCACTAAATTATTTTATTGATGACTGGAACAAATGTAGATGCATCACATTGCACCTATCTACCACAGTAACAGGCCCTCTAGACATGTTAACTAGAGGATCATCAATGATGTCTTTAGGGATCATTTAAGTGTTGCAGACAGTGGCACTGAACCACTTTAATGTTTTAAATCTACATCTTCAAGTAAAATATCTCCATCCAACAACTGAATCACATCAATCTGAAATACGCTGATAAATCAGGCGGTAATCTGTGAAACCTCTCTGAATGAGGAGTAAAACCTGAATGAGATGAATCAGGAAGTCTGCCAGGATGTAGTGGCAACATAACCTGGGCTCCTCTGACTCAACACACCCATGGGAAACTGCAGTGTGGGTGCTCCCTCAGCTGTGCACTACATGATCTCCTTCGCAGTGCATGGCAGGAGAAGGAAAAACGGCTCAAATAAGTCCAAGCAGTGGGGGGGTGGGGGGGGAGAAAATGAACTTTAAACTGAGGAAGGTGAAGAGATAGTTCATGGATGCAGTGGAGTGTTTCTGTCGCAGCACTGGCTCTGTTGCATCTGCCTGAAGGCCTGTGCATATCTTCAGATAAGAAGTAGACAGGCTCATCGGACCCTGCTTTCTCCCTCTGTGCACACTAGCTCTGGCTGGCTGGCTGGCTGGCTGGCTGGCTAGCTGCTGGGCTGGGTGTTTTGCATGGTTTCTCCTGCAGCTGTCCGAACCATCTGAGCCCAGCCGCTGCAGGTCCGAGCAGCCGGGGAGAGGAGATCCCCCTCCCAGCTGACACCACGGAGTGATAACGCAACGAGAGAGAGGGCTGCACAGTGCCCACTGTCGCACCGACATTATTCACAAATCAAACACCACCCACTTTCTACTTGCTAGCTTTAGCCGACAGCCTGAGATCCGCTATCTCTCGCTGCGAGAGGAGGAGGTGGCAGCTGAGCAGCAGCTAGCACCGTGCTAACGTCAGCTAGCCAGCCCGTGTGGAGCATTAGCGCAGAATTATCAGCATCTTACCCCTTTCTGTTGGGCTGTCAGTGTCCTAGGGTGATAGGTGTGAAAACGCGATGTCCCGATGCTTATTTAACGACATCGTAAATGGGAATCCCGCGGTGTAATGTCCATCGCCGCTGTTTTTCTTCCATCCGCCCCACTTCAGCACCGAACGCCGCCGAGCCCCTGGATGCACTGCGCAGGCGCGCTACCACCGCTGCTCTGTGGCTGCAGTCGGTGAGAAGATGCACTGCTGAGGCTCCACATACACAGGGGTCACGTTACGTCTCTGCTGTACAGCAACTACTACTCTCCGAAACACAAAGTCCGCTGCGTGGAGTTTATTCCATAGCAAACATTTACAAGACACAAAGCCATTCAAAAAAAATCCGTATAAGATTTTTGAATCCCGTCTGTAATAAAGCTTCATACTAGAGGAAATGTGTCCTCTAGTTATAGATCCGTAAAGAATAAAAAAAATACATATAGACTATAAACACAGATACATCGAAGCAAGAAATAGTCACTTCGGTAATCTTACATTTATTCTTGTTATAGTGGGAGCGCTCCTCATATCAAATCAAAATCAAATCATATAATATGTTGTATTCTTCCTCTTGTTTTGTTAATACTGTAGATAGGCTATTGCTGTAGGCTATATTACTAGTGTATCTATTCAGTGACTTTATTACCATATCATAGTTTAATATTATATCTTAATTACATCTACACAGTATAATGGTCCTATAGTGCATTATATGTATATGTGGTTATTCTGTGGTAGTTATTTAGAGGACTTTAATGAACAGATAACTAGATATTTTAAATATCAAAATAGAAATTCCAATGAAATCTGCTTTTTAAAGAGAAAATCAGTTGCACTCAGTTTGAGACTATGCCTGTGTTTCATGCAGTAGAACATGTTCAAATGTGAAAGAAAGAGACAGAATACAAAACTCTATAATCTGTTTTAAATTGACAGTAATTTTGTATGAGGTCAAACAGCCAGGTCTGTAAATGGATGTTTGATGTTTTCAGCTGCTGGAACGTACTGTAGTTCAATGAGAAAGTGAGACAGCTAAAGGTATATTTGAATCCAATACTACAGCATTTCCCAACAAGATTAGTAATTTCATTTGAAACTCTGCTGAGTACAGTTTCAATCCATCCACCCATTCATTCATTTATATCTGCAATATATGATCAGAGCTCTATATACACAAGGTAAACCTGATCTTTTTCCTGACTTACAGCTCTCTAGCTTAGACAGTCAGTTGACATATATTCATTTAAATTCACATTTTAAAGAATAAATCATCATTGCTGAGAACATCTGAATTAATGTCTTTCAGTTTTGTTTTTTGATATTTCACTCAGTCAGTGTGCATCTGCATCGTGAGCATGAATCCTCAGTAGTGATGACTGTTCAAAATATATTTTCCTACACAGGGGGGCACCAAAACTCTGCTCTCTCTCTCTCTCTCTCTCTCTCTCTCTCTCTCTCTCTCTCTCTCTCTCTCTCTCACACACACACACACACACACACACACACACACACACACACACACATGTTCTGATGCAGCCTGAATATGTTTAAATCTACTTGATTGTAGATTGTGTGAAAGAAAATGAAAAGGACATTTTTACTGCAACAAGTGACAATAAATAAAGGAGGCTTTTAGCTGACAAATAACACATCTCCCAGTTCGGTGCTTTTCAGGGTTGTTTATTGTATAAAAAAGTAGAAGGACTGAATACAGCACTGCATGGACATTATACTGGAATGGATGTCATCATTGTCATTCATTTAAATCGGAAAACACATCGAGGGAGAGCCCTGAAGTACAGACATTTGATAAGAGAAGACACAACCAAAATCATCAAAGAAAGGAGGTAGCAATAAAGGAAGAATATATGGCTAAAACTAAGTAAAATTAACTATGTAAACTGTAATAAAGGAGCAAGAATTGACAAAAAGAAAAATAAATAAATAAATAGAAAGCAGCAATTACAATAAAGAAAAAGCAATTAAATCTTGGAATTGTCTCCACGGTTTTAATGAGGTTATTTTGAAGTAATTTCAAACTATGTGGGGAAACTAAGGTGCTATCGATGCACAATTACTGTAACACTGCAAAAAAGGGTGAAAAGGGTGAAAGAGTGCTTCATCCACAAAGGCTACATTTTTGGCAAGTATTTAACCTGTTGATTTACTAGTAGTCCTCCATCTCCATGCATCTGACACAATCAATGAGTATATATGAGGAACTGAGACTCTCTAGAGGAAGGATGATGAAAAGGTCATGAGAAGGAAACCAAGATGGGAACATGTGTATATTCCGTGACACGGTTTGCTCATTAATAGGGATCGGAAGTGGCCTGGATCAACTCTTGTTTTCTTCACAGGCCGAGGAGCGTTGCACTTATTTGCATGTGAAAAGGTCAAGAGCTACACAAGCACGACTTCACTGTGACTCTGAAACATGCAGCAGTGAGTTCTCTGGTAGAGAAGACAGAGGGAAGCCTTTAATAAACAAGACGTGAGAAGTGTGTGTGTCTAAGGGATGAACATATATGTACCAACACATGTCTGTTGGCCAGGCTGTTGACGTGCTTCAGCATTACAAGTATCTGTAGACAATAATTTAACCTTTGAACAAAATACTGCCTATTAGCAGGTATACTTTTATTGGAAGTTCATAAGAATGAACACCACCTTTATGAGAATGTTTTATTCGTCTTTTATTGAATCTGTTGAAGTGCGCAACGTCAGAACCACAAAGAAGTCTTAGTCAGTCCTTGCTTATAGTCACCCTTTGTTGAGTGAGTTCAGGTTGCTTCCATCTGGTTGCAGATGTACCAAGATGCAGCACTCATTGATTTAGGAACTCACTGGTCCCTGCAGCTATTGGCCTTTTGAATAACATTATGTAATTCCCCCCGCTGGTGTCCCTGTACTTAAACGATTATCATGTCTCGGCTCTCTCTGCCAACTGGCTTTTCATCCTCTCTTCCTTTAAAAATACTTTTGACTTTCAACCTGGTTGGAGAACACAGACTAGTTCTTTTCAAGCATAATCCGACTCTTAACGTCTACAGGCATGCTAGCAGCTCTGTGAGGCTGTACATAGAAATTAAATGTCTTCTGAACTGAATGCTAACTACAGGTATTTGGTCATAAACCAAAATCAGGGTCTTACCGAAGTGACAGATATTCATGGTGATCCAGTTGTTTAGAGATCTCATTCAAAACTACAAACAGGATTCTCAAAGTCATCAGCATGTATCATCAGCAGTGTTTGAACTACAGTGTAGCCTTCGGGGCACTGTACACATGCACACGCAATCTGTACAGTTTAATTCATGTAGAGAATATTTAACCTGGGAGAACAAAGAAACTGAAAAAAATGTCACTGCAATATTTTTTTTAATAGCCTTAAATTGAGAAACAACAAGAAAGGCAGTGTACAGTGAATAATGTATACTGAGTGCACTCCTACTCATGATTGCCCACAGCAGAAATAGAAAGCTTTGTGTGATGAATGATCGGAAATGATGCTATTATTATAATTGGCCAATTATTTATTTCAGGAACCTAAATATACAGGAAAAAAAGCATTGGTACATAACGTTCCAATATTTTAGAGCTCCGTATAGTTAACTATATTAGATGCAGAGATATAACACTGAAGTGTAACCTGGGTGGTGCAGTGGTTAGCATTGTTACCTCACCAAGAAGGTTCTGGGGTTCCGGTGTCGAGTTTACATGTTCTCCCTCCGGTTGCTCTGGCTTCCTCCGACAGTCCAAAGACATGCAGTATAGGAATTATTTTTGTCTCTATGCGTCAGCCCTGTGATGAACTGGCAACCTGTCTGGTTGTACCCCGCGACCCTGAAAATGATAAGCAGTTATAGATAATGGATGATAAGTAAAAACCTTTGACCTACTGGTGAGAGTACATGAATAGTAGTAGACCGTAAATGTCAAAATGTATAAAATTTCATGGCAATCCATCTATAAGTTGTCGATGTGTTTCAGTTTGGACCGAAGTGGTGGATCAACTGACAGACCGACATTGTCATCCTGGATGTGTCCCCTCAATCACACCTTAACCTGCGAACCATAATGCCATCTCTGCTCCAAGACATGTCTGTGAAGTTATCTGTCACCCCGAGGTCATTGTGTTTGTGTGATTTATTGAGCTGCTCAGACAGCCAGCTGGGGCTTTTCTGGAGTTAATTTGTTCGTTCTGCTGTATGTATGTGTGTGAGGATCAAAGAGATACAGAAAGCGGATGGAAGAAAGGAGGTGAAAGACAGGTGGACGTACAGAGAAAGGCAGGCATGCTGCTTGGGCCTGCAGTCATACTTATGGTGCCTGTCTGGTTGTCTGAAAGTCTTAAAGAGAAATGAGGAGGGCTGAATGCACATTCACAAGAGCGTAAGGGGTTGGACAAATCAATGGCTACTGTGTGCACTCAGGTCACTCCAGGAAAATCAACGATTTTACCCAGTGGTCCATAAACAAAATCAAAGGGGAATGGAGTTCAGTCTAGATCAAGAACTAAGCAAATCTAAAGCAGGGGGTGTAATACTGCCCTTGTGTGAAACACTTAAACACAAATTTAATAAACACTATACTAACACATGTATATCCCTTTATTTACATTCAAGATAGGCAGCTCAAACCTGGTTCACATGTTCAGCAGCTCAGCATGGAGATGTGAGCATGTTCTGAATTTTAATTACATTACGCTGTAAGCTCATGAAAAAGAAATTAGGCAGTTAAAGATGCAAGAGCTGCCTCTCACCAAATCTGTCACATTCGAAGGCTCCTGTTCACTAATGCATTCAGCAGTCACTAAAGCGCTTTTACACTGTGATGGATTTGAAGCCTGCCCAGGCGAGTGTGAAGAGTTTATACTTTTTTCATGAGAAGGGTAGATAATATAAAGCGTAATAATCTTCCATCTGTCTATGTCCTTTGTTCAGGCTGTATAACTGCAGTTTTTTCTTATACAAACGTATGCTGAGCAAATTTCACCCATCTATCCTCATAGAGACTGCATTCTGCATGAAACTGCAGTATTACCTGCAGTACCGCAACACCCTTTCTATTTAGTTTGTGTCTTTACTTCCCAAACTTAGATTTTAAATGTATGTGCCTTACAATGGTTATTTCAACAGAACTCATAGAGCTATCTGAAAAATCTCAA